TAAAGGGGTGCCGCTTTACTGACAGAGGTTTTGGATTCTGGCAAAATAGTTTTTTTTCAGCAGATGAGGCTTTAGTACGTACATCAATTATTTATCTTGATAGAATATTTAAAAGGGTGCCGCTTCACTGACAGAGGTTTTTGATTCTGGCAAAATAGTTTTTTTTCATTAATCTTCAATTTTTCTTCTTTTTCTGAAAAAATAAAACTCATAGTTTAATGCATTCCTTGTTAATAAAAGTACCTTTAATAATAATATCTTTTTGAATGGTAGGTAATGCACAACTTACATTTTTGTTTTCGATTGGTTAACACATAAGAATGATTCCCTCATCTATTTAGATATGTATTCAAGACATTTTGGTATATCTAGGACATATGCATTATATTGAGATGAAGGAACAATGCTTTTAGAATCTGATGATCATCTGAGTATCCAAAAGTTTTAACATTGATTTTTGTATAGTGGTCTCATATAAATATTAAAGAGTTTTGGACTGTACCTTATGGTGCTCCATATTTTACATTTTGGCTCATTGATTATGAGTTACCAATTTTAACTTTTTGTGTACGGTTAACTAAAAATGATTCAAACCACTTGTGAGCTGAGCCAATTATACCTATTTCACTGGTTAATAGTCCAAGTAGTTTGATAAATATTGTCGAAGGCAGCACTTAGATCAAATAACATTTGTACTAAAGGTGTATGTTTATCAACGAGTTAAAATATATCATTGGTAAACTTAAGTAAACGTGTTTCAGTCGTGTGATGTTTTTTGTATCCATATTGATGATCTATATGAAGATTGCTTGTTGTCATGTGAGAATCAAGACAATATAGGAAAACATTTACTTACTATTTTTTCACATTTTAATAGTTTATCATACTAATTCACCCAACATCAATCCATTGAAAATTGAAAGGATCTTTAAAATAATCAACAGAAATTAAGAATCCCTCAGTTATATATGGAGAAAATAAAGCAGACATAAATTAAACCTTATTCACTCAGTACCAAATAAATTTAGTTTATTGCTTGTAAGTTCGAGGGCACCATACCAATTTTTAAAACAATAAGTTAACATTTACTGACATTTAAAAATAACTTGTTTTGATATACTAAATATTATAAATGTTCTTTAATAAGCTTTACAATATAGTGTTTTTTTTATACTATCTTTAACACTTTGGATTGCGACGGCATATTTATATTAATATTTAGTATAAACTATCAAAAATATCGAGTAAAAGAGTCAAAATCTATTATCTATATATAATCTATAACTACTTTGTTGTAATTCTATTATTTAACAGTAAATTTTAAGGTCACAATTAGGGGTCTCCACATAAAATTGTCATAAAACTTTTATGTATGTTTTTTGTGGTTTGTGGAGTTAAAGTACGTATCAATGACAATAAAATAATGCAATTATAGTAAAGTAACAACACCTAACATTATATACCAACCATACAAATTTTTTTGGTACATACTATGATAAAGTGTAAAACAAAAGTAATATATTTATTTAAATAAAATATTATATGAGACCGAAAAAATATTATTTTTTTAAATAAATCATCTTTTGTTTATATTCAACTTATATATTATATTCAAAATTTGAATATAATATATAAATATGTGGAATTGAAACTAGTTGTTTGAATTTCAACATTCAAAGCCTTATTTAAATCTTAACTGCATGCAATCTTTAGATTATAATTCAAAACTAATAACTCTCATCTTTTTGTCATTTTTAATTCAGTTTTAATATCATATTGAGTTCTTGATTTCCATTCAAGGCAAAGTTTCTATGCTATTATTTATCACCAATCACTATGTTTTAACAATAATATAAACTTATTTGTTGATAACACAACAATTTTTTATTAAACATTCAGATGCAACATTCTTATTTTATAATGTTTTTTTATAATGTAATGTGTTTTTTATAATGTAATGTGTTTTTTATAATGTAATGTATTTTATAATGCTTTTTTTATAATGTAAAGTGTTTTTATAATGTTTTTTTATAATGTAATTTTTCGAATAAATAATAATTAAATAAGCTTTTGATTTTTTTAATATTTATTTTAATTTTTATTTAGATAAACTTAATGGACACTGACAGACGCAAAGGTCCATGACATTTTCAAAGTAATGCTGCAAAAAGGAAAGCATCAAAGGATTGTTCTGAACAAGAGGCTCGAGAATTGAACAAAACACCTCGAATTACTAAGTTCTTAATTGCTAAATCAGCTACAGAAAATGAGACACCAGCTTTATCATGTAGTATGTCTATTGCTTACCAAAATCCCGAGGACAGCCAGAATGTTGAGAAAACAGACATTGCTTTAGAGAAAGAATTGCCTGAATGTCAAGGCACAAAAAACGACTAATAACCCAGCGGGCATTTTGACGTCCTAAGGACGTCCGTTAGACGTCTTAAGTCTCGTCCGTAAGACATCCTTAGTTGGTCTCAAATGAAAGGCTTGAGGACGT